CTGTGTCCGAACGCCCACTTCCTGTGGCCAAACGCCGACTTCCTGTGTTCGAACGCTCACTTCCCGTGTCTGAACGCCCACTTCCCGTGTCTGAACGCCCACTTCCCGTGGCCGAACGCCCACTTCCTGTGTCAGAAACCCCACTTCCTTTGGCCGAACGCCCACTTCCTTTGGCCGAACACCCACTTCCTGTGGTCGAACGCCCACTTCCTGTAGCCGAACATCCACTTCCTGTGGCCTTCACGTGGCCAAACGCCCACTTCCTGTAGCCGAACATTCACTTCCTGTGTCCAAACGCCCACTTCCTGTGGCCCTGTGCCCGAACGCGCACTTCCTGTGTCTGAACGCCCACTTCCTGTGGTTTAACCCCCACTTCCTGTGTCTGAACACCGGGCCGAACGCCCACTTCCTGTGTCTGAACGCCCACTTCCTTTGGCCGAACGCCCACTTCCTGTAGCCGCACCCCCACTTCCTGTGTCTGAACACCGGGCTGAAGTCCCACTTCCTGTGTCTGAACGCCCACTTCCTGTGTCTGAACACCGGGCCGAACTCCCACTTCCTGTGTCCGAACGCCCACTTCCTGTGGCCAAACGCCGACTTCCCGTGTCTGAACGCCCACTTCCCGTGTCTGAACGCCCACTTCCTGTGTCAGAAACCCCACTTCCTTTGGCCGAACGCCCACTTCCTGTGGTTGAACGCCCACTTCCTGTAGCCGAACATTCACTTCCAGCGTCCGAACGCCCACCCCCTGCGCGGTGAGTGGGGGGCTGTGCGGTGGAAAGCCGCTTAGCGTGGGAGCAGTGAGCGTGGCGCGTGGGCCCGGCCTGGATTAGCATGCGGGCGCTAATCCAGAGAGACGGACTCACAGACGGGGGTTTAAAGACTGGGTGGGCTCTGGGCTCTGGGCTCCGGCCAGGACCATCCAGCAGCCCGGCCATGTTTCTGAAAACAAAGACCTGATTCCAACCGTTTGTTTTGGATTCGTTCAGTATTTTTGGATGTTTCAGAACAAACAAATCAGAGTGAAGCTTTGGTCCTTCAAGACATTTCAGAATCAGAATCAGAAATACTTTAATAATCCCAGAGGGAAATTATTTTTGTTACTAGCTCCATAAATAAAACGTCATATACATGTCTATACATACATACATTTGCAGATGAATCATTTTGGGACCTTTTAAAGGCAGATTTTCCCTCTTTAAGTGTTGGTTATCTTCCTGCTAAGGGGGGAGGCTTCTAGTGACGAACCTGGAGCTCTGAATCCAGATAAAAACCCTTCAGCTGGACTCTTTATCGTCCTTTATCTCAGCACCACCTCAGAATGAAACAGCCTCGCTGGGCTCAAAATATATTTATATCTCACAATTATGAAGGGTGGAGGGTTAGGGTCAGGGTTAGGGTTAGGGTTAGGGTCAGGATTAGGGTAATTAATATGGGCCACCAGCCACGATAACATCAGTAACAGGTCAGTTTGAAACCAAAGACACTAATCTGTCAACATTCGGTTAAATTTTGGGGTCTTTCTTTTTATCCTTGTGGTATCCAAAATGGTATCGAGTATCGAGTATTTTCCTGAGTATCTGTATCCAGTTGAACATTTTTGTATCGTGACAACCCTATTCTGTACATATATACATTTGCAGATTAATCATCTTGGGATTTAAGTGTTGGTTATATTCCTAATGAGGGGGGGGGACTTCTATAACAAATCGTCCCTGTGACGAACCTGGAGCTCTGAATCCAGATAAAAACCCTTCAGATGGACTCTTTATCGTCCTTTATCTCAGCACCACCTCAGAATGAAACAGCCTCGCTGGGCTCA